TAAAACCTTAACTATTCTATTTTTTTTATAAAAAATGTATGTCTTCATATGAATTTAAAATTTATTATACATATCTTAAATTTTTTATCATCACACTATGTCCCTTAAAACATAACTTGAAAACACATAATACATGTAAAAATACATGTAAAATATAAGTTTTTAATATCACTACGTTGTTATATATATATATATGTGTATATATATATATATATATATAAACAAATCATAAATTTTTTTGTATATATTAAATGAATTATATAAATTTTTCACACAAACTAATCCGGTGATTGATTTCTTTATTCTCAATCACTTATTTAATAATTGCAACACACATAATCCATCATTCATCGTATGTTTTATAGAGTTTGACTGTCGTTTGTTTTTAAGCATAACACTTTTCCCAATACAATAAGATATATAGAAAGTGCAACCCTAAAATACAAGCTTTAAAAAGATTTGTTGTCCGTGTGCTCTCAGGACATATATTAAGAGCCAATGATCTTATTTTTTACCATTTATATATCGCTGAATTAAACTTTCGGCTAAGGTCAGTTCGTTGATTACCTAGTTCTAAATAGGAGCATCTAGCTCTAAATCTGAGCTTCTAGCAAGTCTTATATAGCTCCTATATCATGCGCCGATAATTATAGATAAATATTGGTACTGTAAATGCAAACGATTTTATATATGTTGAAAAATTAATTTCAATGCTCACAGCAGCATCTGCACACTTTAGAAAATTATTTTTAAAAGAAAAGGTACACCATTGATATGTTGGCACGCGACCTAAGCCTAAGGTAATACAAGAGGGTTTCTTACACAACATATACTTGCCAAGAGACAAAATCAAGTTTTCTTACAGTGACACATCGACCGGCTAGCATTGAGATTATCAATGTTTTTCTTAGGAAGAGATTACCAATGTTAATTAAAAAAACCAATGATCATTTAATTACAAACAATACATTTCATGATACAAAACCATGCATCTCGAGAATGAATCTTTCATTAGCACGACGCTAGCTCATTTAATGCTGGCATTGGAGGTCTCATGTTTTTTCCTTTCAAGATGGTGAAGATGTCTGTTTTTCCTCGTAATTTATTTGTCTCAAACTTTTAAAAACCAGAGAAATCCAAACAAGGTTATTACTCCCACATTACCATGGTCTTACTCTCATCTATTCCCCCTAGTGCATAGGGTTCATAAAAAGAATAAGTAAATAGAGGTTCTTTATCTGGGCACTCAGTTTCACTGTTTTTGGGCAATTCCCAGTTACAGGCTTGAGAATTTGACCAAGTTTAAAATACGACTCCTAGTATGGTACTTAAAAAAGAGGATCGATCACCAAATTATCAGGTGAAATAGTTAGGTTACATTGCCCCTTGACGGAGTGCTATCATCTTTAATGTGTGTGTGTGTTATGCAAAGCTAGCTCGTTGATATTTTCCATAGCATATTGGTGAGTACTGTGTTCTATTTTGCGAAATCAGTCTGAGACCCAAAGGTGAAGTAGACCTTGTTTTGCCTTTGTCAAGTGGGGAGAAAGTCGTCTTTGCAGTAACATATTGGGGAATTCACCTGATGCACAAAGGGGTGCCCAATGTTATAATTATACTTTTCAATTGGGAGTAAGATTTCGTGTCTGTATTTTATGAATGCTTTATTAAATGATGTAGAAGAGACCAACTTACAATGAAAGAAGCGCTGTTTTATTTTGGAAGACAAGAAAAGAAGCTTGGAATCATGTGAGGGACAATAAATGCAAGAGTTGGGTAATAGGAGGACTTAGGGTTCCACAACACCAATACAAGTTTCAATATTAATCTCCCTCGAACTGGGTCTCGTTACAGTATTAAGAAAACTAGTATGGAATCATGTCAGGTTTCATTAAATTCTTGGGTGAGTGTGTATGTGGGGGTGTTTTCTTTGACTTCATTAATTATCATCCTTATTAAAATATACATATGAATTCTGCTTAGGCCAGAAAGTTTAATCATATCCAGCTAATCTGCTTGGCTGCTTTATATACCTGTGAGCAGTCCACAGCTCAGGCTTAATGCTATAAAAATTGCTAGATAGTATCATGGCCAGCTTCATTAACAAAAGCAAAACAGTAAAGTGAAAATCGTGTTTATTGAAATAATATTTTCATATCTTTGTTTTTCCATTAAAAAAATACTTAAAACTGGTTATCAAAAGTTTGTTTTACAAGTTTTATCAATTATTAAAAAATTAATTGAGAACAAATAATTTTTTTTTTATCATTTTAAAAGCACACTAAAATGACTAAAATATAATTAAAAACAAATATATTAAGATGCCAAGAGGTAATTTGGTAATGTTTGATTAAATATAAAATATAATTAAAAATAAAATTTATATAATTAAAAATATAAAATATAGTGAAATGATCAAAATGCTTTTAAAAACAAAAATATGCATAGGAGGCACGCCAACGCCTCTTGAAGACCAAAATTCCTTTTCTATTATGTCATTGGAAATATAACCATATAACCATATCCTTTTTTATATTAGATCACATGTGGTCTTTTGAGACGTATTTTGTTGTTGATAATGCTTTTCTCTTTTTTCCTTTTAAAATTCATGCTAGCCATGCAAAATTTCATAATTCTCCTTTAATTTATGAAGATTTCCACCTCGATCCACGTTTCTTTGATTTTTAATTTTTATTTTTGATTATTTTGTAAAATTTTGTTTATTTTCAATTTTATTATTCATTCCAAAATGAATATGTGCTTTTTCCGATTTAATCCATATTCTTTTGATTATTTTTTGGACCTTTTGTTAAATTAACTTTTTTTTTCAATTAAAATTTTATTTTAATTTCTTATTTTAATTTTAATCGTCATTCTTTTTAAATTTTCAGGTCTTTTTATTAAATTAATATTTTTTTAATTTTACCATTCAATAAAAAATAAATTTATTTTGTATTTAAATTTTGATCCCCGTCCTTTTTATTTCTATTTTTTTCTTAATTCATTTATATAATTGATTTTTTTTTTAATTTTATACTTCAATATTTGATTAATTGAGATTGGATTTCATGGTTTTTTAAAATATGATGCTTTCAATCTAATAAATCGGGTCACAAATTTAAAAAGTTAATGTAAATTTATTTTTTAATGAGTTTTGTGAATTTCTATATTTTTTTTCATTGATTTATCCAGATCTCATAACCTGAGTAATGAATTTGGTGAGATTATCTGGGTTGCCTCAACTCTGATTATTAAGGTTCCAGATTTATCATGTTAACTCATCATTGATTTATTCAGATCTCATAACCTGAGTAATGAATTTAATGGGATTATCTGGGTTGCCTCAACTCTGATTACTAAGGTTCCAGATTTATCATGTTAACTCAGGTCTAGTTTTTAGGTTTTTTTTTGTCCAATTTTATCATTTTGTATTTAATGAGATGAGAATTGAACCATATCATTATCCCTTTTTAGATTTTTTTTGTAAGTTATCACTATCATTTTTTATTTCTTAATTTAATTTATTTGTTATCATTGCTTATTTTATTATTATTTAATTAAAATAAACTAATTTATTTGATTCTATCTTATCTATAACCTAAATAATGAGTTTGTTTTACTTTTTTTTTTAAATGCAATTGCGACATATCTAAGCATTATTTTTTTATGGAAAAAAATTGGACCTAACAGGGTCCACAGCTGGTAACAGACTAATTATCATCACCTGGATGGCAGAATTATTGACCGTACAGTTTTTTCCATGCGGGGAGAACTCGGCTTGTTACGCAGCACTCCTTAACATTACACAGCTAACACTGGGCCGCACATGCATAAATCAATTTTCCTGTGACTGTATATGGAGAGTGAATTTAACGGCTAGTGTGGCTATTTATGTCAAACTAAAGCATGAGTCTGTCCAAACAAACATTCTGCAAAGCTTCCTCTCCTCTCGTGTTCTTGGCTAGGGTTTCATATATCAAGACAAGTATAATTAAGATTGGAGATGAGCAAAATCTGCTTCTATACATGTTAGAACATGGTTCTTGCAACAGACACAATCTATATTGAATTGCCCAAATGGGTTCACATTTATAGCAGCACTATCCGTGTGGGAGGAAGAGTCGATTGTGATTAATGGGCAACGTGGAAACCTTAAACCTTGCACACGTACAATTTCGACGTCGTCGGCGATCATCTGGAACCGTTGGTTCCATCCCATTTTCCTCGTGTAATAGCCATAGGCACACTTGTAATGATTACCCAGAAAGGATTCATGTGAACGTAGAGTTTTAGTTGGATCGACACGTACATGATTGAGGATTTTGTTTCATGTGTAGGGTTGTCTGTCGTTTGTTGAATGATATGAGCGATTTCCATTTTAGACTGCGGAATCGATCACTGCTGCCTTCTAGTTAGAGAATTTAATGATTCATGCCGTGCTAGCTTTCCCAAAGAGCAAGATAATTCTCCCATTGAAATAAAACCAAACACATTAACATTTCCTAATCTGGCGAAGAACACTAAAAACGTGGAAGTAACGTACTATTACAACCATTTTTGGCCGGTGGAAGAAGCACAAGGGTAAACATTTACCACTTAACCAAGGTATAGGATCATATATACCTAGCTAGTTGATTTTTTTTGTTTTAAGAAAAAAATAAGACTGCCTAAATTGATTTACGGCTCATTTCCTCAGAGCTGGGGAGTAGTATCGAGAGGTTAGTACTTGAGCTTTTACCCTCCTCAAACTAGCTAATCATAAAATAATCATTTGATATTACTAAAATACCCCAAGGAATAGTCTGAAATGGCTCATCAATTGATCACTGAAAACGTAAAATAATATGCATATTTGGTTTCAATCTATAAGAACTTTTTGCAAAAAGAAAAAAAGAAAAAGGAAAAGAAACTGCAAGTACTCTCTTGTCTGATATAAGACTTCATCATAATTAATTGAAACCAGTACCAAAGTCCAATTTTTTAATCATTGATGTCCCTAAACAGTTTGTGAATCCGATCTGTTCTAGGCCGTTATAAATATACCACTTCGGCCTCATTCTCTCCCAAGATTTCTAGTCATCTACTCCTAGGTTTGCTTCCTCTTTTCCTTCTTCTTCACAGTTCACAGACCTAGTTTTTTTACAAACAAAATGGGTGGAAATTCACCATGTGCTTCCTGCAAGTTGCTTAGACGCCGATGCGCCAAGGACTGCGTCTTCGCTCCTTACTTCCCTTCTGATGACCCCCACAAGTTTGCCATTGTCCACAAAGTCTTTGGTGCTAGCAATGTCAGCAAAATGTTACAGGTCTGTCATTTTCTCTCTCTCTCTCTTTTTTTAAGTTCTAATCATAGGTACATATGTGGTTATTACATAAGCACGTATACATATCATATGTGTGCTGGAATGAGAGTGGTTTTCTTTTGGTAGGGAAAATGAAAGATGCTAATAAAGATAGCTTGGTTGTGCTGTGGCCGACCAATTGGTCCAGAAAAGAAAGTTCCCTCTAATAATGATTTTGAGATGCATGTACAAGGTTATCTTTATTAAATATACAATAACTTTTTCTTTTTTGGCCAAGTAGGAGCTACCAGTTCATCAGAGAGCGGATGCAGTGAGCAGTTTGATGAATGAAGCGAAGGCGAGAGTGAGAGACCCAGTTTACGGATGTGTGGGAGCCATATCCTACCTGCAAAACCAGGTTTCCCAGCTACAAATGCAGCTTGCAGTGGCTCAAGCAGAGATATTATGCATCCAGATGCAGCCTGAACCTGTGATGCCAACCTCACAGATGGGCCCAGATGATGACAAGTCATTTCTTCTCCAAAATAGCCTCTCTCAGCACCTGAATTATGGCTCTTCAAGCAATGCAATTCATGATTCTCTCAAGAGAGAGAGCATTTTTGGAGACATGATTTCTTAATTAGTAGAAGTTGATGCTAGCTTTAATCCCTTATGCTCACTTTATGTTCACAGAGTAATATAATTCGAGAGAGGAAGGGTTGTCCTTACTTGATGTTAGTTGAAGAATACGCTTTATAAATAAATAACACTGCAACCAACAGATTAGTATTATAGTTTGTCTTAAAACAATTAATGGTGACTTGACGAGGTCAACTCTTGCATGTGACCGGTGAAGTAGTAAGCTTAAGTTTTATTTTGGGTTAAGTAACCTATTAAAGTTAGGGGCCGGTGGCCTCCCAAACAATCCAGACATAAATTCTTGTGGTGACTAATTAGCTGTTTACAGTAATATGCATACAGGGTTCTCATAAATGATGAAAGATGATAAGCAGCCAGCGAAGGAAAATTCAATGGACCTCCCCTGTTTTTAAGATGAAGAAACACAACCAAAAACCTGTATATATAGGTCATCATCAATCTAACAAGATAGTATTTGTATAACAATGATCTGTCAAAAACAAGGACGACTTTTAACAAGTTATGGCCCGTTGAAGTGGAATCTTAGGAGAGAGTTAAATAATAGTTTTAGGCTTCTGGATGTTTGAATGAAGTGGCTGCTTCGGCTTTGAACAGTGAAACCTATAGCAAGCCCAAGACTTTTACTAGGTGGTGCATTTAGCAATAGCTGCTCTTTGCACAACAAGAACTGTGATGTTTTTTCGCAGCTAAAATTAAATACCTGTGAAATTAATTAAGCGGTAATCCCATATGAGGGAAACATGGATTTTGCATTTTACCCTTCATTCTCTGTTTTTATTGGCCTTTTTTTTAATGTTTTCTTCAGCAGAAAAGCACAATTAATATGCTTCCGTTTGAATTTCCTATGGTGCTTTATATATATATATATATATATATGTTTTCCTACTGTTAATTAGTTGCTGGGCACCCAATTTAGTAAATATCAACAGGTGAAAAAAAGAACAAAATTGGACTCCTCTAGTAGCCGCAAGTCTGATCGAATCACAGATTCTTCTACCAAGTTCAAGTGGAAGGCTGTCCAAGGAAATTTAGTGCTCAGTTCATGGGAAGTATACAGCAGGGACTAATTTTCGTTGTTGTTTTGAGCTCTTAACAGCGTGTCTTTGTTGGTCTATCTCTCCACACAATTATATGTCGAATCAAACTGATATTTTAAATGGTGAAGAACAAAAGACAAAAGGCAGCAACTGACTCAAAAAGATTCCTCAATAGCTAGCTTTGTTTAAGGTAGAAGCATTTTGCAGGTCAAACTTCACACTTATATTACATGCCCTCTCAAATCCTCTACTCTTCGTAGCCCTTAGGCAGCAACTTCTAGTTTTAAAGGTCATTTATGCCTGCGGTTGTAAATTAATAATGGAGAAGTTCTGCTCCATGACTGTTCCAAATATTTCCACTGAGATCACAACGCACCCACATGTTTTGGATTATTGTGGACATAGCAGCAGAATAGTTTAAAATATAAAACTCCTGGTAACTATAAATTAATGTCTTTTCTAGCCAATATAACATGCCTGCTTTCACTGAACTTGAATATGTTGCCATGAAAAATCTTGTACCTTTGAAAGGGTAAAGAAAAGCTACAGAAGAAGCTAAAATCATGTAGGGCCATAAAGATAGAGAAAGGCAACATGAAATGATAGGATGGTCCCTTGAAACATCGGCGTTTGGTAATATTTAACAAGATTTTTTTTTTTTAATTGCATGTCTCAGTATTTGGGAAAGATAAACAGAGAAGATTAAATGAAAGCAACTGTATCAATGGAGATATGGTCACTACACAAGGGCTTCCTCATATTATTAATTAATATCACGAGATCAAATTTCACTTGATACAATGTACTTCATTGTTTTTTCTTTTCCCTTTTCCAGGTAAAGAAGACAACAAGTTTTGTTAAGCAAAACAACAAGAGACTATAAGCAGATTATTTGTGCTTCAAATTTCAATGTATATTTGTGAGCTTGATCATCAGTTCGACAGTCCTGGAAATTTGATCAGAGCAGCGAGAACTTTTTTTTTAATAAGATTAATTGTAATTAAGAGGAAAAACTATAACAAAACACGAGAGCTATATTATAAGAAGTATAGTTATCTGGATCATATTGATAAAAGAAGCAAAAACTAAAAGAAAATTAAAAGTAAAAAATAACGTGAAGACAAATAACTATATAATCGATGAATTAATTTCTTATAAAGTTAGAAACGATCGATTACTTCATACAGAAATCATAAAATGATTCAAATAATTTATCTAATTCTTTAAATTTAATTAAGAGAATATGGATATTGGAATTTAAATTTGTGATTATATGATGATTAAAATTATTTTGGTGCCATTTTCAGAAATTATTTTAAAATGAAAACATAAATTGTTAAAGGCGTTGAACTCTGTAATAGAAATGTTGATCAATAATTTATTAAATTAGATGCATATGTTATCAATGTGATGATCTACCCATTAAATGATGTCATCAAACAAAAAGGAAATAACTAAAACCTTACCGGGACCAGCATTAATCAATTATATGTAAAAATAAAATAAAAAACATGAATGTTCATAGAGAGTTGAGTTGAAATTTACTTGGTTGAAAAAAAACGAAGCATTGCAATAATTAATAAAAAAAACTGCCTTTTCTGAATTTCTCCCAATGATAACTATAAGTTGGGTCGAACGAGTTTAAAAATCTCCTCACATATATCCTCATAGGGTTAATAGATCTGATGAAATACATCCTGATATGGTTGATGGATCTGATGAAAGACTCTGTCCATAGATCTGATGGGGTCGATAGATCTTGAGCAGGGAGAACATGGCTACAACACTCTCCAACATTTCTTACCAGATAAAGCTTCATAATATATATTTATTTGCCGCAGTCCCTTGACTAATTGACAGTTTATTAGACACAAGATCGAAGCTGTATTTTTAAAAGGAAAGAAAGAAAGAAAAAATTTAAGATAAAAATCCGAGACAAACGAGAAATATCATCATCATTTAATTATATTTTGTTAGTTGAGATGATTAATGAAGCCCGCCAGCTAATTTTGTTTTTTTCCTATTCTTTCACGGCGACAATAGAGTGGAGTGGTACTGCCGAGTGTCGACTTGATCAGCATGTAAGGAAAAGGAACAGAAAGACGATATGAATGAGACGAACTTAATCCTTTGATTAGCCACTACGAAATGATATCATGGTAAAACATGTGTAAAACCTTAAACTCGATGACTATATTGTGCCTGTGGGGTCAGATATCTCGCAGCCCTACCGCAGCTTCTGTGCTGCAATGAATATAAAAGGTGGTGATTTTTTAAGTTTTATGCGGTATATGTTTGTTCTTTCTTTATTTTTTCCCGGAAGTGGAGAAGTTGGCTAGAAATCTTTGCATATCTATACTGCCGCTAAGTCCTTTTTAGCCTTGACAAAAAGTGGACCTGGAGATTAGTTACTGATATGTCTAGCCTGGTCCAGATTGAGCAAGTTGCGTAGAAGGGCAAAAGAAATGCACAGTAATTCCAGATAACTTTTGAACATAAAGACTGCTTCTACGTAGGTCCATGATGGCGGGGAGGACAATCCCTTGTGCAACAACAAAAAAATAAAATAAAATTGTAATTGTACTTTTCAGCTTAATGACATGAACTCTTGTGAGAGTGTTGTTATTGCTTGGTGGAGTAAGAGGAGGAAATTGGATGAGTTTGTACCCTGTTTCCAAGCATAAAATCTAAACTAACTAGCATGGAATCAATTAATACTGGAGTGGTAACTCCCATCAATCACCTAGCTTTCTTATATTGAAGCAAAGTGCTCCAAGAAATCTAATCCGGAGGACTTAGGAGTGGAAGACATTAAGAGTCATGTAGAACTAACCAATTAAGAGTTGGGAGGGAAGGGTTTTTGAAAACCAAGCACCTTGCTTTTGGATGTATTATCCTCGAGCACTCAAATGAGAACTACAGGATCCTTCCACTATCCTCCGCTGTCTCCATAAACTAGCTAAGTTCGAGGTTGATAGGTGAAACAGAGCTGCCTTCGTCTTGTCATGTAACTTTTGATTATTTTTCTCTTTCATTGCTTATTTTCACATCAATTTGACTCTTTCTATTGTCCACCATGGAAGTTAAATGTACTAAACCACATTGTGTCAAGTTTCTAGCTGTGATTTGCGTGCGAGCAGTCATTTCCAGACACCGGACTTTCAGAAATGTCATCATGACCAAGCGATGAGAGCCGTCCACATGCCGCTTGTACAGCGCTCACATTTTAATGTGAATAAATAGTTATTTCTAGATTTTTTTTTTGGCAGTAATCTAGATTATTTCTTTTGTTACTAAAGATGCTATTTGTAAGTTTGACAAGGTATTCCTTCCTTTTTTTTTTCCTTCTGTTTTCTACGATGCATTATTTGGCTGCCTGTTATGTTTCTACACAACATAGGATGGGTGCCAACTAGCACGCCAGCAGTGAAAAAAGCTAGTAACCTCAGACATTAGATTCTTTTCCCTACCCACTGGACTTCCATCTTTAACTTCCAGAAAGTGAAAGTAGGTGATTCAGTTAAGGAAAGTTGGAATTTTAGTAGTTATATGTCAGTGGGTGAAATAGGAATTTCAGTTAAGCTAGTAACCTCAGACATCAGATCAGTTTAGAAATTTAAAAACAATTTATCTTTCATTGCAAATAAGGAGTAAATATATGCAGTTGGAAACAAGTATTGCAGAGGAGGAATTTATTATAAATAATTCTTATCTTAACCTGTGTGTTGAAATGATACAGCACTCGCCAGATATAAGCAATGCCATTTTCCCCTAGGTACTAATACAAATGGAAAAGGAGATCGTAGCAATTAGCTTACTAACCTTCAACATCCAGTAGCATATAAGGAGAATCGTCCAGCTCCTGGCAGGTCCCATCAGCAGCACACGCTTGGATAATGAATCTGAGACTACCGATATGTGAGGGAATGGAAAGTTCGGACATATAAAATGCTTGAACGTGTGCCACCCCAAGGTACACCCTAGTGTCTACTAGTGTTCCAGTTGCATTTCCATCAACTTGTTTTGTTAGTTTCTCTACATAGATATTGTACTTTGGGAACAGAAAATCATTTCCATCTTTCAG